CGAGGCCCCTCCCTCGGGTTGGAAGCTGGGAGGCTGAGGCCGGGGTTGAACCTGACCCAACCACCCACCTTGTCCAGCCTCGAGACCCAGATTTGCCCCCTTCCCTCGCTCCGCCGTCGGCCGGGTGGGAGCGGGAGCGGGAGCGGGGCATGGGGTGGGAGTGCAGAGGCGGAAGCCGACCGGGAGGCGACCCCTCGTCTGGGATTAGCAAGGACCTTGGTCACCCCCTCCCCCTTCAAAAGACACACCCCAGTCTCGGTGCGGGGCGGGGTGCAGAGGCGCTCCCAGCCTCTGGAAGGGCAGACCTCGGTGTGGAGGCTGCACCTTCGCTCGTGGCCTTTCCGAGGTGGCCCCCCTGTGGCTCTTCTGGGCGGTTCAAACCCAAGGTAGTGCCCGGCGCTGGGAATCCCGGAGTTCCTTTTGTCTGTCAAATGAAACTGGAGGCCGGATCCTGTGGGCAGACACCCACTAGCACCGAAGCACTCTACTCTTTATCCTTTTTCTGTCTTGGAAGGAATTTCTCCCTAGCAGCCTTTTATCCGGCCAGAGTGGTAGATTTTATCTCTTGACCTCCATCCTTGGCCTAGAGGAAGGAAGGATTCACATTTTACTTGTGTTTGATTTATCATTCGTATAGGAACAATCATCCTCCATCGTTTTTTGTTTTCTTTTCTTTCTTTTTTTTTTTTTAAAGCCGTTTCCCATCCAGCTGCAACCCTGGTAATCCTCCCCTAGATTTTTGCAAACTATCAACAAAGAAGTGTGGCTGGAGGAGTAGACAGTCCTTGACTGACTGGACTGTGTAAGTTAACAGAGCTTCCTTAGCTGGCGCTGTTCTACCAGTCTACTGTGAATGAGCGTTTTGGCTGGAGTTAAGGGTGTTACTGTATGTGCATAAAGTATCTCCCCCCCTCCCTTGCTATAGTGAAGTTGCAAAAATCTTGGGTAACTTGATTAAAATGTGGCTGTTTGGGAAGCATAACAACAAGGAAGAAAAATGCAGAAAGGAGAATGTGATTATTTCAGGGGTTTTTGTCCAACTTTTTGAAAGTGCCAAAGGTGAAGCAGTGGATTTTTGAGATTACGTTAACTGGTACACTGCAACATTTATTGACCTTAATACGTTTTTAACATATGATATTTTGCACTGAGGTATTTTTGTTTGTTTTATTTTAGTTGCTTGTGGAAATTGTTGATTACCCGGACATCTTAAAACCAAGAAACCTGTGAACAGGTTCATTAAGAATCTGCTGTCTTGAAAAATGCATTTTATGAATGCTTTGAATTAAGAAAGTGTTAACAGTGGTCTGTCATTTCTGCCACATAAGAAACTATAATCTGAAACAGTTCCCTGGCAGTTGCCCAGATGCCTGAAACTGGCAAGATCTAATACTCTGAGTGATCATCCTTCAACGAGAAATACAGAGCTACTTACATACTGTACCTCATACCGTGTAAATGTAATCTCTCTGATGCCATTTAATGCAATGGACCTCTTTTCTGAATCTAATTGTCAGATGCAGAATTAACACTTGGAATCTGGAGAAGTATTTTGTACAAATCGAAAGATTGGGTTTTTTCTTTAGTTTTCCAGATGTATTGTCTCATCTCTGTTCTTGAAACATCCACAATCACATAAACTCCAGTTGTAACCATGGAGTTATGTGATTCATTAAGATATAGGAAAAGTGATGCTGAGCTGTGGAATCAGGCATTTCTCCCTCAGTTCAACTAATGCATAGACTGCTGATCAAGAATAAGGAACCAAATAAAGTCATGCACGTTCTGTTGACAGATGAACTCTGTGGCTGTTGAATTTTACTGTAACTAGTTACACTGTCATTCCAAGTCAACTTAGTATGCACGTTATGTCATAATGGATGGAAAGACCTGTGTTGATGTTTCCAGACTCTAGCAAATGAAGATAAAAAACCTATTATGACTAATCCTTGGGAAGAGAAAGTCTGCAAAATGGCTCAAACCAGTTTACTGCAAGGGAAGCAGTTTTACTGTAGGGAGTGGGTTTTCCACAAGCTTCAGCATTGCCTCCAGGAAAAAAGTAACTGCTGCAATAGTACTGTCAATGCACCATCACTTGTAATGAATTCTGGGAATAATGCTAGTGGTGTCTCTGGAAAGGGAGCTGCCTGGGGTGTGTTGTTGGTAGGAGGGCCTGGCAGTGGCAAGACGGCCCTATGTACTGAACTCTTATGGCCAAGTTCACCTACAAGTTTGCAGAGAGGTTTACATCGCCAAGCTTTGGCCTTTCATTTCTGCAAAGCCCAGGACTCTGATACTTTGTGTGTTGGAGGGTTTATTAGAGGTCTAGTAGCCCAGATCTGCCGCAGTGGACTACTCCAAGGATATGAGGACAAGCTAAGGGATCCAGCAGTCCAAAGCCTTTTACAACCTGGGGAGTGCGAGAGAAACCCAGCCGAAGCATTTAAAAGGTAACAATAAAACTGTCATGGTATTCAGATTTCTATGCTGAAATTAAATTAATTTTTAGTTGTAGTTTTTTGTTTTTTGTTTTTAACTTTGTGGATTACTTTTACTAGTGCTGTACATTTGGCCTTAATCTGAAGTTATGAATATACCTGTTTACTTTGAATATCAAAGAAAGTAAAATCTAGGTTTTGGTATTGCACAGCATATGGATTAAAAGTGTATCTGAATTTTGCTTAATAACAGAATGTTATTTATATTGCCTATAAATGGTAAGGGAAATTTGTTCTTGTGGTAGAGAAGCACATTTAGCTGTCTGAAAATAGGTTACCTTTTCAGAGGGTGAACTGAACTTAGAGTAGTTATCAGTATAGCATCTAGTACCTTTTTTTTTTTTTTTTTCCCTTGTAGTAGTAGTATTTCTTTAAATAAGAAAGGGTTTCTTTAAAGGAGATTATTGGCCACTGAGAATCTGAAGAAAATTTGCTGATGAGTTTTGGGATTTATTCTCCTATTAAATAATTGAAAAGCTGAGTGATATTTTGAAATATGTGAATTTATAAAATAGGGAAAATTTGGGATCATCTTACTGCTTTTACTTTTAGTGAGTGGTACAAAGTGGTTTTTTCCTAACTTCAGCTAAGCTTTTTTTCCATAGTAAATGGATTGGTCCAGGAAGTGAGCAAGTTGCTTTCCAGAGTGGTTTCAGATTCAGATCTATTCAAGAAAACATAATTCCTTGAAAACATGTTTTTTTGTTGTTGTTTTTTGTTGGGTTTTTTTGCTTATCATGCCTCTGCTCATTGTAAAAGTAGCAGGCAAATTGTTAGTTTGTGCCTCACTTCGGCTTGAATTACCCATTTTGCCATAAGCTTTTTCTCTACAATAACATTCTTAGTGGGCAAAAGTTTGTTCTCCAGATTCTGGTCTACTGTGCACTGGAGGTTTGTGTGTGTGTGTGGGGGGGGCTCACTTCTGCATGAGTGTGTTTCTAGGAGAGATTTGAATCACTCTAAAAAGAGTGATGTTTGTTTTTATGATATCCTCAAATCTAATGGGGTGAAATCTATAAATTTTGGAAGTAATATTGAAAATATTTAATAGTAATTACAGTAAACAGTATGTGTCGGTCATTATTCTAAGTGCTTTACAAATATTAGATCATTTAATCCTCATAATAATCCTGTGAGGTAGTTACTATTCCCATTTTATAGACAAGGAAACTGAGGTACAGAGAGGCTAAGTAAATTGTTCAGGGTTACAGACTAGTAAATGTCAGGGCTGAGATTTTAAATATGTGTGTGTGTGTGTATGTATGTATGTATGTGTGTTAGTAATCTTAGAAATTCTTTGGAGGACTTGATGGGAAGAGGAGGGGTTTAGAAGGTTATGTGTGGCAAAGCTGGAGAACAGGAGTTGTATCACAGTGTGGTTTGAGTGTGGGTTTTCAGATTACCCATATAGTGATAGAGGGAGTGGTATTCTAGAATGAGAGTTAGGGATGCTACAGAATTCAAATATGGGAGGGATTTATTAAAGTCAGCCAAAGGGATGTATCTTTGAGAGAGGTGATATTCTTGTAGACTCTTTAATGTGTAAATTTAGTGCAATAAAACTCAAGGCAAATCTATTATCTTTTGTTGTTAGCCATCAAAGTCAGCATTAAAACTGATAAATGTAAGCAAATAACAGGAAAATATTTATTTTTCGCTTTTGACAAAAACTAAATCCAAAACCAGTTTTTGTATTATTACTTTTAACCTTTAAATTTCTACTAATATTGATGATTTCATATACAGACTTTTCCCAATTTATGATAGTTCAACTTAAGATTCTTTGACTTTAGGATGGTGAGAAAGCAATATGTATTTGGTAGAAACCTTAGAGTACCCATACAACTGTTCTGTTTTTTACTTTCAATATAGTATTCAATAAATTACATGATATATTCAGCACTTCATTATAAAATAAACTGTGTTAGATTATTTTGCTCAAGTGTAGACTAATGTAAGTATTCTGAGCATGCTTAAGGTAGGGTTGGCTAAGCTATGATGTTTGGTAGGTTGAGAGTTATTACATGCATTTTTGACTCAAGGTATTTTCAACATACAATGGGTTTATCAGGGTATAATCCCATCATAGGTTAAGGAGCATCTGTATTCATGTGTGGAACTATTTAATAGTTATAGAAAGTTGATAATGAAAAATCTGTTATTCACAGATTCACAAAGCTGGGGAAATTGCAGAGAAGTTATTTACTTGATGCTTTTTAAATCCACTTTTCTTCAGTTTACTTCCTAGCTTTCTTTTAATTTTTTTTTATGCCTAATGATAGTAGATGGAATACTTAATACATGAAATTGTATGGCTAAATGGTAATTTGTTAATCACTAGTTCATGATAATTAAGGAAGAGTGAAAAGAACTTCATCTTAGTGAAGCATTGCCGCTTTCTTCCCTTCTGACATGGTACAGTATATTCTATAGTTTCTTAGATTTAGTTGTCACAAAATTTCTTCTGGCATTCATCAATTTGTACGACAAATAATGAGAGTGTTATGTGTTTTAAGCATAGTTCATCTGCGTTATTTATTAAGAACCTTCTGTGTGTTAGATAGAATTCAGCTGGAGATAAATCAGGCAATAGAACAAACAGAATTCTGCCTTCATGGAACTCAAATTCTAACATTAATATTTATCTTATTCATATAAAGAAAAATAACCATCAGAGTTAATACTTGTTATAGGGTTCATGAAACACATGAACATTTAAACATTAATAGAATTTGGTGATCTGCTAAAGGGAATGATGTGAAGACACATTGATATCTTTTTTTCATTTTTATTTTTCGTATCTGGCTAAAGTACAATACTATTGTTAATTTGTTTACAATATTTTATTTCCTCATTGCTGAAACTAAGTTGATGTTTATATTTTTACTTATTACTTATTTTGAGAGCCAAAGGCTGATTTCTTTAATTCTGCCTCCCCCTTTAGGCCTTTAGTGCAAAACTTTGTATATTTTGCATTGACGGTGTCTTTTCTAGAGTTAGTGTTAGTGGTGGACTCCTAGTAGCCCTATAATTGTAAAACATTCCAATTATTTTTGACAAAAAGCTCAAGCATCTAAGTTAGTGAGGAGTGGAGGGTAGTAGCATTAGGTTTTGTGACTGGTTTAGAAGATAGCTATTTTGTTCAACCAAAAACACCTTTCTGGACTTTGAACAGAAAAGTCATTTTGGAGATTTGAAAGGATGTGGTGCAGGGAAATACAAATTTTTGTTCTTAGTGTATGTCATTACCTCACTTTTATTTCTTGTTAACAGTCTGCAGGACCAGATACGTGATGTCAGTTGTACTGTGTTGGGTAAAAATATTTTGTTCTGTGTAATGTTAACAGGAAAAATTAAACATCTTCAGGGATACCATGGGTTCAGTGTAAATGGAGTAAAATTTCTGTAAAGAATTAAAGATGAGTAACTCTGTTTTGAGAGTTTAATAGAAAACTTGTGCTAATGGTGAAAGGCAGTATGCCTTGTTAGAAAAAGAATTCAAACTAGGAGACCAAATACTGACATTTGTTTTGTGTGTCAAATGGGAATCTTTGAATGTTTGAATATTCTTTCTAATCTTACCTCCTCCGGGAGCATTTATGGATCTTCACTTATATCTGTTTAGGTTTGTAGCTTGTGTTGCAGTTTTTTTGTTTTTGTTTTTGAGACAGAGTCTCACTCTGTCGCCCAGGCTGAAGTGCAGTGGTGCGATTTTGGCTCACTGCAAGCTCCGCCTCTCAGGTTCATGCCATTCTCCTGACTCAGCCTCCCGAGTAGCTGGAACTATAGGTGCCCACCACCATGCCCGGCCAATTTTTTGTGTTTTTAGTAGAGATGGGATTTATTTCACCGTGTTAGCTAGGATCTCGATCTCCTGACCTCGTGATTCTCCTGCCTCGGCCTCCCAGAGTGCTGGGATTACAGGCGTGAGCCACTGCGCCCGGCTGTGTTGTAGTTATTTATGCATATATCTTTTGTTATCTTCCCTATTAGGCATATACTTCTTCATGACATTATTCATGACTGATGAATTTTTTATATTTCCCAAGGTGCTTTGTATATAGCACTTTGCATATAATAGTTGTTAAATGACTGTCTTTTGAATGAGTGCATAATGCTACTTGCTTATCTAGAATATGTGTGAACCTAATTGAAAGAAGGCTGAAGCTCTTAAATAAGAAAGGAAATTGAAATGCTACATGATTTAGGTCAGTTTTAAATGCAGACCAGACTGGTATAGTGATTATTAATTTATTAACCTACTGTCTGTTCTTTAGCATATATTAATATGTCATTAGTCCAGATAGTTTTAAGTGGCCAGATATCTATCTCCTGTCTCAACTGGCTCCAAGTATTTTTGGCACACTCAACAAAGGGGCCAAGAACAGAAGGGGGCTGGAATGTGCGCCTCCTTCTTACCCTCACTTGTATGTTTTTAAGGCAAAATATATTACATTCATAATCAATCTTGTATAACTAGTGCTATTTAAGATAACTGTCATTATCTATTCTTAAGTATTGTCAAATTAAAAGATCCTTCTAAAGTGCCATTACTATTCAAATTTTAAATAAAATAAGTTAATCAATATAATTTCATTATCAAAACTTTACATGTTTGTCTTTTAATCTAAAGATCATCACGTTTCACTGAATGGTCTATTGTTTCCAACTTTTAACTATATCCTTTCTACTTCAAGATACAAACTTCCTTTTATTCAAATCTTCTCACTTTTCCTTCTGAAAATCTTTTCTTTTTACTCTAGTTTGTCTGTTCCTTTTATATTTCAATCTAAGTGCTGCTTCCTTTGGTTCCTGGTACTCTTTATCATTTGCTGAACCAGTCCTCAACCTCTAATCACTTCTGCTCTAATGGCATAACATATTGCTCCTGTTTGCATACTTAGAACTTTGAAGTCAGCCACATTCTTAGTTCTGTTCTGCAATCTAATTTA